AAATGGAGCTGCAGGGGGTGGTGTCTGAGTTGGCCTGTATAGTCTGGGTTGCCACCCCATGGGCCAGGGAGGAGTGCAGAGAAGATCCCTTTCATTCACAGTCTTCCACATTTAGTGGACCAGGGCCTTTGAGGCAAAGGGTACATTCTGGCCTTGGGTGGTTAATTCAGAGTCCAGTGAAGGAGACCCTGAAGGTCCAGCTTGGGTTTTCTGCCAGTAGGGGGCAGGCCTGCCTTTGGAACTAGTTCCATTTCTTAGCCTTGATTAGGGCATGGCCAGGTCACCCAATTCCATCCCTCACCCTCTTTTGCTGCAGGCTTTGCCAGAGCATGAAGCTGAGATCCCTGACACTGTGCGGACAGTCCAACTTATCAAAGATCTGGCCAAGGAGATCCGTCTGGTGGAGGTGAGGGCCCAGGAATCCAGGTTCCCCCTCTTGGTTTGGTTTTCTGCTTCTTCCTAGTACCTCCTCTGTCTCATACCAAGGAGTGGCAAAGCTATTTGTTTGTGTTCTGGGTGGGGGAGGACATTTGGTTTCTAGTCTCTTCCCTTTGACAGATAGGGAAACTGAGGCTGAGAAGGCTTGTCATTCTTCCTGTATAGAGTGGAGATGTGAAAAGGATAGAAAAGGGGGCAGAGGTTCTGGTTCTCCAGAGGCATTTCCCTCCCTTTCTCTGGGGCCAGCTCACAACAATCTTAGGGGCACCAAACATACAAAATTCTCATTGTCCAGAATCCTTTTGGCCTGAATGAGAGCTGGGCAGGTCCTGTGCACACGTGTGTGCCTGTGTCCATGTGAACTCTCCCACATGGGCCCGGGGTTGAGCGTGCAGCTAGCTCAGCTCCCTGTTAGCCAATGGCTCTGTCATTTCTGCAGGATATCTTCCATCAGAACATTGGAAAGACTGGCAGCCCCTTTGGCCTCCAGAGAACTGGCTTAGTCAGCAGCACCCCGGCCACCAAGCCAACCCCTGGCCCTCCTGCCTCCACTGCCAGGCTTTCCCCAGCCTCTAAAGCCAGCTCCAAAAAGAGAAGCTCCCGAGCCAAGGTGGAGGCTGGGAAGAAGGCGGAGCGCAGAGGGAGAGAGAATGTGGCTATGGTGGATCCTTATGAGCTGGACCTCAGTCTGCTGGACAAATATACGCGGCAGACACTGAAGGCGGGCTGTCCTCCCAAGGGCCAGGTGGGCTTCCCTAGGGCCCCACATACTGCTGGGAGGGGGTTGTCTCAGGCCCTTGTGTACTGGGGGCCCCTGGACACCCTCTGGGTATCTGATCTCTCCTCCATCAGCAGCTTCAGAAAGAGCTGCTCTGGTCCAATCCCTTCATTTTGCAGAGGAGGAAACTGAGGCCTAGAGAGGGGGTGCATTTGGGCTGAGCCCTCTGCTTTCTTGACTTGTCTGGGGACAGGCTTCAGCTGAGCTAGTGCCATCTTGTTCCACAGTTTCTGGTTGCAAACACCTGCTTGGCTCCCCCAGAGGAGGAGCTGGAGCTAGACCCGGACCCAGATCTAGACTTGGACCTAGAACCTGATATCGAAGAGAGCCAAGTTACAGCAGTGCTGGCCAATGGAAGAGCAGCAAGGTGAGCTGGGCCCAGAAATGGTGAGCAGGCCAGGCCCTTCCTCAGAAAGCCCTGGCAGTGCTCCAGGAGATGACAAAGATCTCTGAAAGACTCAGTTGTGCTGAAGTGGGGGAAATGGTGGGGTGGCCATCGGGCACCAGAAAGTGATCTCTTGTCACATGCAGCCTCCTGGGACTGAGTTGTAGCTGGAATTGCGCTCTGGACTCTCGTGGCTCACCCGGGCAGGGCAGGGCCATTACCCCTTGGGAAATCAAGCATCAGTCACAGGGCACCCAGAACCACTTGGAACTTAGCGGAACATTAGGAACGACTTGGGGTTCATTGGGAGCTAGTGAGAGCAGATATTTGCCAGCCTCTAAAGCATGTGGCAAACAAAACACCAGGTTCTCCAGAGATGGGAGCTCCGGAGTTACGGCCGCCTAAGCCAGCAGCATTACCTGGAGGCAGGCGGCGGGTCACCTCACCGGATTTGTCAGTTAGGATCGAGAACCTTAAGCTTGAGTCAATGCATATTTTAGCTATGTTCCAAATCTGGGCTTCAATGCCATGTTATGCCCATGTAAGTTTGGAGGTGCATTTAGGGTTTAAGAGGAGGGAGACAGGCAGGCAGGGAATGGAGGGAACAGAAGGAAAGTGCTGTGGGGTGAGCCACTGTGCCATTGCTCAGGCTCATGTGATTCCTGAATCTTTCTCTTTTACCTCCTCACCCACCCAAGGGGGAAATGGATTGTCTGGGCTCCAGCTGCCCAGAGCAATGGTACCCTGCGGGTCAGATGAAATCAGCCACACTCACCAAAGGGCCCCCTGGTGCTTTACCCCGTTGGAGGGGATCCAAAGGGTCCGACTCTTGCTATCTGTTCAGGCTACAAATGAGTGCTCTGGTGAGAGCTTTCTGTTCTTCTGAGTCCTGCCTCTTCATTGGGCCTCTCTCTCTGCTGGCTTTCTTGGGCCTCCCTGACAGTGTCTTGGTTTACTCTGTGTGTGTGTGCGCGCGTATGCGTGTGTGTGTTCGTTCGTGCGTGCGTGTGCTCGCGTGCATGTCTGGCTTTCTCCAACCCAGTGACAAGAAGGTGAAGGTCTCAGCCAGGTCCCGGAATTCTAAGAGCACCTCAAGACGAGGAGCCAAGAACAAGCTGCTGATGAAGGGCGAGTTTGACCTGGACTCTGAAGAAGACCTGCAGATTGATGAGACGCCTCGCAAGGAGAAGAGGGTCCTGGTCCCCAGGAAGAAGTTACCCAGTGCGTCTCCTTCACTCTTCCCTGTCCCCTTCTGATTCCCCCCAGCTTTCTTTGAGCCTCCTCCTGCAGATCCTGCTCATTTGCCCAGAGGTGTCAGCCTCACAGCACTCTTAAGTGTGGCCCAAGCAGGAACTATTGGGAAACAGCCACAAAACAAAAAAAAAAGATACTAGAGCAGAGATGTGACTGATGTGTGGTGTGTGCGGCCTAATCCAGGCCCCACCCTGACTATTGGGTTTGCCCTCACCCCTACCCCCCCCCCCCTACCCCCCCCCCCCGCCTTCAGCTCAGAGGCAAGAGGCTAGGTGTCCTCCTCTTTGTGTTTTAGAATTCCCCCGGAAGTTGCCTCGTGCCAAGCCCTGCTCTGACCCTAACCGAATCCGGGAACCAGGGGAGGTAGAGTTTGACATTGAGGTAGGAGCTCAGTTCTCTCCCCTGTGACTTCAGGCTTTGTAAGCTTGGATTGGGGACTTCTTGGGAGTTGGTCATTTGGTGAGGCCTCACCTGTGGTGAGTACCCAGTTCGGGGCAGGGCACCCGAGAGCATCCACCGTGACAGGCGGGGAGAGGAGAGAAGGGTGAAGTCAAGACAGGAAAAAACCTAGATGTGAGCTAAGGCATAGAAATAACAGGGTCCTGTCTTCAGGGGCATTTGGTCTGGCTAAAATGAAGAAAGGATTAAAGGGGGAGATGGAGAATGGGAGGAGGTGGGATGACTAGATTGGAGTCGCCTTGCAAAGGGCCCGGGATTCCAGGTATATTGTGCAATACACTCGAGCCAGCCCAGCCTGCACCCTTGGTTTGCTCTAGGAGGACTATACAACCGATGAGGACCTGGTCGAAGGAGTGGAAGCCCAGCTTGGCTCCAGCGCTGGAACCACAGGGATTCTAGATCTGCTCAAGGCCAGCAGGCAGGTGGGGGGACCCGACTCTGCAGCCCTCAAGTGAGTACCTGCCTCCGTTTCTCCTTCCCCTGGCAGTCAGACAGTTCATGCCCAGGCTGAGGCACTTGGGTTCGGTATGTAATAAAGACCAAGCTGCCTCCTGTGCCACTGAACGAAGGAGATTGGACATTTGTGGCATCAGCAGAAGTCCAAGGCAAACCCCAGGACAGTGAGAAAAGGGATAAGAAGACTGACCGTTTAGCAGCTGGGGGAGCCCAGGGGTTTTAGGGAGCTCCCCATAGGAGCCTGTCTCGCCCCCTACCTTACTTAACTACATTACCTTCTGGGGAAGAGAGGCAAAGGCTGGGCCCCAGACACCTCGTTTCTGTGATGCCCACTCCCCAGCTGGCTTTCTCCTTCCTTGGCCTATTTCTGTTGGGTGGCTCCCTCCCCAAGGGGACCTTCTTTCAGCTACTTTTCTTTGCCCCTTGCAGTGAGGCCCCTGCCTCCCCCAGTACCCAAGAGGCTATCCAGGGGATGCTGTGTATGGCAAACCTGCAGTCCTCATCCTCCCCGTCAGCCTCCAACCTTCAGGCCTGGTGGACTGCAGGGCAGGAGGGTGGTGGCAGCAGTGGCAGTGGAAGCGGCATCTCTGCTCGTGGGAAGACTGATAGCCCCAGCACCCCAGCCAACCAGCGGGCCCTCAGCAAGCGAGCTGGGAAGCAGCCAGCCCAGCAGAGAATGGAAAGTGAGGAAGAGGAGGAAGAGGAAGCTGAGGCCAGCCTAGATGATGAACAGGAAAGCCTGGGGGCCTGCTTCAAAGATGCTGAGTATAGTAAGGACAAGGCCAGTGAGGCTGGCGATGGGCCCACAAGAGGGGGAGAGAAGCCAGGTGTATTTCTGGCCTGTCAGGTGCCAGGCTTGTTTGAGGGCCAGGTTTGTCATTTTATGGCCATCATGTCCAGGGTGGCAAGGGATAGTGATTTGGCATGGCTCAGCTCAGCCTGGACCTTGGGGAAGTTGTTCTGTTATCCCCCTGCCCTGCCCTGTTGGACCCTGCCCCAAATGCTGAGCCTTGCCATCAGAAAGTCACAATGTTCCCCTTGCGGGGCTCCCAATATGGGACCCCTCAAATTTTTCAGAGGCAGCTGTTGAGTGGGAGGGAGAGGGGTGTGTATGGGCATTTTCTCCACAAGAAGAGAGACCAGTGTCTTGGGGAGCTCGGGGCAACGAACAGGGAGGGTGAGAGAACACACGTGAATACCTGCAGCAGAAAGTCAGCTAGCCAGTGGAATGAGGTCTTTGAGGGGATGGCACCCAGAGGGGAGGCTCAGGAACACCAGGGGCTTGAGGAGACATGAAGAGATGGCAGGGCAGGGGCAGGGCCAGGGCGTCGGGGAGGGAAGTGGCCAAAGGCTCAGCTCTCGGAGGCATACTTCTCTAGCTAAGCCCTGGAGTCAAAGTTTTGGTGGTAAACATTTGAGGACGTTAGTGGCTGGGCTTGTGTGTATTGGCATGTCTCTGTTCCTCTGGCCAGAAGCCCAATAACCAACATGGCTTCCCCCTCCTTAACAGTCTACCCATCTCTAGAGTCAGACGACGATGACCCTGCTTTGAAATCGCGCCCTAGGAAGAGGAAGAGCACGGATGATGCTCCCTGGAGCCCCAAAGGTGATTTCAGGGTTACAGCCCAGACAAGGGCCTCTGACCTCCAGATCTCCTCCCTGCTTGGGCGAGGGGACAGGGCAACTGATCTGCATGAATTGAGTCACCGTTTTCCAAACCTGGCTCTGGTGAATTCAGCAGTTGGGGCTGACTGAATCAGCCCCATAGGGAGGGAGCAGTGACAAGGATTCTGGGCTTCAGTTAGGCAGCAGGGAGCATTTGCTTGTAGGGATCCAGTTCTCATTTATCTTTATTGTTGAGACTTTGAGGCAGGGCTAGCCGACTCTGGTTTGCCAGAGGGCCAGGCTGGTTTGTCCATGTTTAAATATGAGAAATTCCTCACAGAGGTCCAAGCCACCCTTTGAGCATGCAGGCACACCAGGATTTGCTGCCCCCAGCTCTAGGATATCTTAAGAAGAGTTAAATTGCTGATAGGTTCATTTATGCCCCATGAAAGTGGCCAAAATGAATGAAAGAATCCATGTTAGAAAAGTATAGGAAGGTACGACCCCTCGAACACGACTGGTGGAACTTTGCATTGGGCAAACTGCTTTGGAAAATGATTTGCAGTTATTAGAGAAAAATCACTAAATTGTCCTTACCCTTTGACCTAGAGATTCCAGTGTTGGACAAAGCGTATCCATGAAACTTTCTAGCTTTGATACTCTGGGAGTCAAAACCTGGAAGAAAGATAGGCACCGTATTTTCCACTATCTTTGTAGGTGCGGGTTTTGTGGTGTTGAAAAGATAAGATATAAGGTCAATTCCTTAGCTGAGGTCAGGAGTGGAGGTGGGCCTTTGTCACCCCTGTTTTGTGAATAAGGGAAACTAGGTCCCATAGTCAATCAGGATTAGAGTTGAGATTTGAGTCCAGATCTCTTGGATTCCGTGCCCAGTGTCCTTTCTCTGCACCGAAGAGTGCTGGAGTGGTCAGGGGTTCGGGTTCAGGAAGTTGGTGCAGCACACACATTTCAGTAGGTACAGGGTAGGGAGGACCTTGGAGAGGAGGGGGCCTGGGACGAGTGAAAGGTGTAGATGGGCACAGGCCCGACTTGTGTCTGGTCAGCATGGAAAGGAGAGCAAGACTGGCCTGATGATCAGGACTTGGGAGGAATCTGGACCACATCCCAGAGGCAGCAAGAGCCTTGTTTCCTGAGAATGGGCACTGTCTCTATTGACTCTCTTTTCACTGCAGCCCGTGTGACCCCAACCCTCCCAAAGCAGGCCCGGCCTGTTCGGGAGGGGACTCGTGTGGCCTCCATTGAGACAGGTTTAGCTGCAGCAGCTGCAAAGTTGGCTCAGCAGGTAGGTGGCCAGGGTCCCAGCTCCTCATGCTGACCAGGGGGCTGTCCTGTGTGTTTAGTGGTGCTGGGGGAGGGGCATGGGAGCTTAAAGAAATGGCCAAGTGGAAGCCTCCCAGATAGGCCACCCTACATGCATGTGTGTGCTTTGGGTAAGGGCCAAGGGAAGCCACTGGCCAGAAGATGTTTTTTCAGAGTCATGACTTGGCCTCTGAAATTTGGAGGTACTCCACTGGGCCTGTCTTCTCGGAGGTGCTGGGTGAGAGGAGACCCCCTGCTGTCCAGCTCAGAAGGGTTTTTATATTTTTCAAGAAAGTTTTATTGTATGAAAAACTGTAATGCTGCCACTGTCCTGAGGCCTACCAGGCATTAGGGATCAGTCTTTAGAGCTCATCATCAGTAACTTAGAATACTTTTTGAAGAATACTTCTTGCCTCGAGACCAGGGCAATTGTTCCATTTCATTAGTATGCTAAATGGAGGGAAATAACAGTTGAGTCTCCACAGAAGATGCGACAGGTCCTGCCAGACGTGGCACTAAAAAGTCAGAGTCGGATGAATGAGACAGCAAGCACTTAGCCTTCTCACAAACATCCCCCACTCTTTCTCTTCCACTCGCCTTGTGTTTCAGGAGCAGCAAAGAGCCCAGAAGAGGAAATATTTCAAGAAGAAGCCATTGGCGAAGGAACTGGAACAGTTGCCCTCTCAAGATAGTGGTCCTGGCACAGCTGCTCCTGTGCCAGTGCCCCCACCTGTAGTTGTACCACTTAGCCCCCCACCACCCACTGAGCCCAAGCAGGAACCATTTGCTGGCAGCCTGGCTGACCATGAGTACACTGCCCGGCCCAGTGTCTTTGGCATGGCGCAGGTGAACCGAGGCACCACACCCATGGCACCTGGTGTCTTCTTGTCTCAGCGGCGGCCCTCGGCCAGCTCCCAGGGGAGTCAGGCTACACAAGGTAAGCCAGGTGTTCCCACCCCCTCCTAATAGACATTGCCTTGTGTGAAGCATTGTAATAGTCTCTTCATTGGTCAGCTGCCAGGTGATTTTCCCTGTCCGTCCCCTGTGCACTGAGCTCCCATGGCCCTCTGCTGTTTCTGGTATAAACTACAAAGTCATTTCTAGGGGAGGCCCCAGCAACTGGCAGGGAGGCCTCAGGGATGAGCTGAGCTTTGAAGGAGAGATGGAGGTAAAGGGATTCCACACGTGTGGGGATGTAACTAATGTCCTGGGCAGGAATGGGGTGTAATGGGAAATCAGCCTGGCCAGGTGAGCTGGTGTTAGATCATTTGGAGGGACTTGAAAAGGCAAACAAAGGAGTTGGTATTTGACCCTTGTGGTAGTAGGGAACCACAGGAGCTCATTGACCAAGAGAACAACAGGGTCAAATCACTTGAGCAGTTCCCGTCTAGCTCTCCTCTGGCCTCCCCAGCCTTTCCTTCACAGTGTCTTTTGCTGGCTCATCATCCTGAACAAACCTGCCGTCTGTGGCTGTCTGTCTCCCAAGGCTGTCCCGTTCCCTCCTTTCTTCTCTCAACACTCTCTTGGTGACATAGGTTTAATTATTGTCCCTATGGAGAATCTACCCAGCTTCCGTCTCTTTCCTGAGCTCTGGTCCCTTGGCAGCCGCTGCCTTTTGGACATCTCAGACTCAATGTGCTGGAGACCCCTTGAACTCACCAAGTAGCAAGTGGCCCGATCCAGTGGAACACCATGGCCCCAGTGGAGCTAGTAATGTACTTTATCCTTTCCCCTCCTACTTAATAGTATTTTATTTTTCCGATTGTATGTAAAGATCGTTTTCTACATTCACTTTTATAAGATTTTGAATTCCAAGTTTTTCTCCCTTCCCCCTCCCCAAGACAGCAAGCAATTGGATATATTGTACTTTACTCTTAATTCGGTCCTTTCTCAGGGCATCCATTGCCCCACCAATGGCCACACTATTCCTTCTCTCTCAACTCTCCATTACCCTCAGTCCCTTTCCCCCTTGTTCTCTTGCCAATTGTAGCTTGACAAGACCCGGCCTTGGGTGTCACTCACCATCTGCTGCCTTTGCTCCTATTCACAAGCTGGAAAAGTCACAAAATAGAGGTGATCAAGTCCACTACAGATGTATGTCATATAACCTCAGTGGGCCCTCACTGCAGCGAGGCAGTCCTTTATACTTCCCTACTTGGTTTGCCCTCCCACTTGCCACAGAGACTAGCCTCCCACAGCACTCCCCTTCCTCACTCTCTCAGGTGAGGATCATGCCACAAGTCTCTTCATTTCACATCTCCCTGCTGTCATCTCCTGCTATCTCCTCTTTCACCCCAGTCCCTGAGGAGGAGGTGGACCTTCTCCTTGCCATATCCCTTTCATGGCTAAATTTCTCAAGAAAGCCATGTGCACGGGACAAGCCGACTTCTCCTTTCGTTGTCTTCTAAATCCTGACCCCATCATCCAATTGAAAGTTGCCTCTCCAGAATTCCCAGTGACGTCTTGGTTGCCTGATCCAGTGGAGGCCTTTTCTTGGGTCTCTTTCTCCTTGACCTCTCTGCAGCCCTTGACACTGTTGATCTCCCTCTTTCTGGATCCTCTGTCACTCCTGGTTCTCCTCCGTGTCTGATGACTCCTCAGTCTCCTTTGGTGGCTCTTTATACAGATCACGTCCCATGACTGTGCCTGGCCTAGAGTAAGTGCTCCTAGGCCAACCGACTGACTCACCGACTCTCTGTGGGTATGCCCTAAATCTCTATTCCTGGGTCCTCTTCTCTCTATACTCTTTATCACTTAGTGACCTTTGTGACCCTGTGCATTTGAATTATCATGTCTGTTCAGATGACTCCTAGAACTACACATCTGGTCTTCCTCTCTTTCTCAAACTCCAAACTCACATCACCAAGTGCCAACTGTCTGTCTTGTAGGCATCTCCTCTTTCTGACCCACCCCCAAGACACCTCTCTTCCAGACTCTCCTTTTTCTCCCATGATCCCCTCAGTTTCCTGACCTTGGTGTCATCTTCCCCCATACAAGGAGTTGCCAGGTCTTTTTAGCTGAGTGGCCCAGAGGATAGATCACTGGGCCTGGAGTCAGGAGGCTTCATCTTCCTGAGCTCAAATCTGGGTTCAGGCACTTACTAGCCATGTGACCCTGAGCAAGTCACTTCACCCTGTTTGCCTCAGTTTCCTCATCTGTCAAATGGGCTGGAGAAGGACATGGCAAACCCCTCCAGTATCTTTGCCAAGAAAAACCCAAAAGGGATCATGAAGTGTTGGGCACGACTGAAAAATGACTGGACCTCAGAGCATTGGGCCTGGAGTCAGGAAGACCTGAGGTCAAATCCAGCCTCAGTCACTTAACCAGCTGAATGACCTGGGCAAGTCATTTCACCTCCATCCACTTCAGTGTCCTATAAACTAAGTAAAACAAAGACAATCAGAGCATCTACCTCCCATGGTGGTTGTGAGGATTCGATGTAATAGGGTTTGCAAAGCACTCAGCACAGTGCCTGGCACATGGCAGGTGCTCTGTAGATGTTTGCTCCTATTGATCATCATCGGCTTGCGCCCGTCCTCTAACTGTTTGATTCCAGTAGAAGTGAAGCCTTCCGTGAGCAGGGTTGGGCTGCCCTTTGGCTTTTGGGGCTCAGTCCCTGGCACAGCGCTTGGGGAGTGTGTGTCATGATGAAGGCATTGAGAAGCTGGTGTTCTACCAGGGTGGGCGAAGCAACAAACGTAGGCCTTGTGATGGAGCCCTTCCATAGGTGAGAGCAAGGATCTGAGGCCCCGCGTCACATGTCTAAGACCCACCTGTGAGTCAGCCTCTGAATTGTGTCCTGTCCTAAAAGTCAAAGCTAATCTTTGTGTGACCTTGGCCAAATCGTTGCCCCATAGGCTTTTCATCTGTAAGGTAGAGCTAATAACACTTAATCTCCAAGGACCTTTAAGCCTCAGAGACGTGTATTCAGGAGGCCAGAGAAAGGTGAGGCCTGTGTGTTCGAGGAGGCCGTAGACAGGGTCTCATTTAGGCCTCCCACCAGCCCTGGGAGGCAGGTACCAGAGCGTTTATTTTCCCCGCTTCATACATGAGAAAATGGAAGCTTGCAGGCTGAGAGGGGAGGTGGGGAGACCTTGTGTTGGGACTCATTGAAGGGTGCACCCACCTCAGCTGGACCTTCATTTCCTGTTTTTTCCTTTTGCTTCCAGGAAAGCGGCCCAAGAAGGGCCTGGCCACGGCCAAGCAGCGACTTGGCCGCATCTTGAAGATCCACAGAAACGGCAAATTGCTGCTGTGAGCCCTCCATGTTGGCAGGGCCCTGCTTCAGTCTCCTGGCCCTCGGAGGCTTCGTTTTTCCTTTGCAGACACTCCTCATGTCAGACTTCTCTTTTGTTTGGAGCCCTCCTGGCCAGCCTTGGGGGTGGCTGGCTTAAGAGGCGAATGTCCCTGGTGGAGGGAGGGAGGGAGGGAGGAAGCCTAGCCTTTCTTTCATTCACTGGCCTCCCTCTCCATTTCCTTTTGCCCTTTCCTGGCCTTTATTTCTGTTTACTGCCCTGTTAGAGAATGGGGAGGCTGCAAGAGTGAAGTCTGACTTCTGAGAGGCCTTCAGCTTCTCCCCTGTTTGAATCAGTTAGGGCCCATGAGCAAGGGGACCCGGTGCTCCTTAAATAGTTTTGTTGGCCTTCCCCCTTGTCTGGGCCCATTCATCTAGTTTGGAGGGAAGAGAGCAGGAAGCCTGCTATAGGCTGCTGCCATGCCACCTTTTGTGGCCTGTATAGAAGCCATGTGTGAATAGCCAGCCCCGTTGGCTGGTCTGCCTTCCTGCCCTGCTCCTCCTTGTACAGGGGCCAGGTCTGTGACACTGGACACAGAAGAGGTTGCCTTCCATCACCTCATTAGACCTGGAAGCGCCCACAAGCAAAGTATTGCCCCACTCATGACCCCCTGCTTGGCCCCTTCAGCCCCAATTTGGCTGAGTTGGCAGGGGTGGGCATCTCAATACGCCCCCTCTGAGTAACTGGGCAGGGTTGGAAAATGGAGTCTGTGTGGAACCACCTCTCGGTTCGTTTGGCCCATTCCAGCTGCTTGCTCTGTGTGGCTGGGATTGCCCTGGTGACTCAGGGACCTGGGGGGCATCTCCCCACTGGGATACTGTAAGCAGAAGGGCCACTGGCTCAAAGCCTGAGCCAGCAGCTGTAGGGCTTCCATGGGGCTGGGTAATTTGGAGCCAAGGAAGTGTGGCCATCCCTTCCACCCTCCTCCCCAAGCTCTACTGGCCACCTTTCACCACACTGCTTTTCTTGTTTCCCTCATCCCAAGCTCCCTGCCACTTGGCTAGAACAGGGCTAGGCAGGGAAACCTGTGGCGCATGGTTGTCCTTGAGCCCTGCCCACTGGTCTGCCTTGTCCGACCTTATCCCTTAAAGTCCCAGTTAAGCATGGGCTAGAGCCTGACTCCCTTCTCTCACCTGCATGGAGATGGGAGTCACAGCAGAGAGAGAGGCCAAGGCAGCTAATTGCTTCCAGAAGACCACCTGGTTTGGGGCAGCCCAGGCCAGCTCTGCCCAGGATACTTTGATTTCACATTTTTTATTTCTGAGGTTTGGGGCCCCTTGTTTTGCTTTTCTGTTGTTGTTGACAAATGACGGTAAAGGAAAGGCCTGTCCCCCTCCCTCCAAGTTGTCTCACAAAGAGCTGAGTGGGGGCGTCTGTTTTCTTTGTTGGACTTTTCAGGTTGTAAGCGTTGGGGGGGGGGGGGGTACAGCCCAAGGGAGGGAGCCCAGCCTTGGACTCTCTCCCTCCTTAGCCAAAGAGCCAGCCAGCGGCTGGGCTGGGGGCCCAGGAGAAAAGCATTTCTATTCATCCGGATTCTATTTTTACAAAAGAGAGAACACACTCAAGCCACCACCACACTTCTGTACATGTTGAAATCTATTTTTAGAAGTGGGGAGGATTGTGTATTTCGGACGCGAAGCCAGACTTTGGTGGTGGTGGCACTTTCTTTCAGTTTGAGGCCCTCTCCCCCCATTTTGGTGTTATTACTGATGTAATTTATATTTTTTATTTAGATCCGTCCTTTCCTAGAGAGATAAAACTTGTTATATCTTGGCACTGACTTGGCTTCCAATTCTTTGCGTGGGCAGCAGCATTCCTTTTTCAGGCGCCTTGGGTAGGGGAAGGAGAATGGAGTGGGGCCACAAGAAGCCCCAGAAACTATTTTGTGACCTGTTGGTGTGGCCAACCTGGTACTGACGTGAACCATCCCCTGAGACTTGGACAGCAATCTTGAGAGGGAGACAGGCTCAGTAACTTAGGCCAGGGTCACACAGGGTCTGCCACTCTTTTTTGGGGGGGGGGGGGGGTCTGCCATTCTTGTTGCTACACCTTGCTGACCTCCCTCTTCCAGAACAGGCAGCTGAGTTGGGGGGGGCATGGAGGGCAGGGGGGGAAGGCACTCTGCCAAGATCCCACTGCCTTTTATGTGTCAGGTCTCTCGCTGTGCCCCAGGTGCCTGAGGGAGATGTTATGGTGCAGTGGGAAGTGGGAGGTACATCTGGCCAATCACTGCCCTCCAGTGGACTCCTGCTCTCATCTGCAGTGGCCTGATTGGTAAACAGCTAGTGCCCTGCCTTCAAGGAGCTGACATTCTACTGGGGGATACATAGGTGTTCATAAGCAAGTTTGTCCAAGATTTGTGCAAGCTAACACGGTGACTCAGGAGGAGGTGGCACCTGCCAGCTGGGGCAACCCAGAAAGGCTTCTGGAAGGAGGTGACCCCTTGAGCTGTGCCTTAGGTTCCAAAAGGCCTGCCAGGCTAAGGGTCCTGAACGAGAAACCAGCGGGGGCCAATCAGGCTGGAGCCTTTCAATGCCCAGCACGAGTTTGGATTCAGTTGAGCTTTAGGAGCATCAGCAGGGCAGCTGTGTGGAGGGTTACGGTTAGAGAAGAGGGCAATAGTCCAGGTGAGAAGTGGCAGTCTGGCCCAGGGAGCCAGACGAGACCTAGGGGCAGGGGGAGTGTTTGTACGTGAAGGGAGAGACGGGGTTACAGACCTCAGCGGCTAGAAGAAGGAGGCTGACAGGTCTGTTCATGGGCCGTTTACGTTTGAGGTGCCTGTGGGACAACAACTGGACGTACTGGGGAGCCAGGAAGACACATCACTGAGGGAGTAAAGACCTGCAAGTACAGGATGGGTTCTAGATGAACTGTGCTAGAAGAGCCCCCTGAAAACCTGGAGAGGCCCAGGGCGGCCAATGTGTGGGCAGCATTATGGAGAGAGGTCAACGTGGGGGGGG